TGTGGGTTGTAATTGCCAATGGAGTGTGTATACACATGGGTGCCAGTGTATGCATGCACATGTTCATGTATACAGGTTCTCCCTAGGCACATCAGTGAGGATGTTCAGAACCAAAGCAGCACGAGTCAAATCAGAACACAATTAGGTGCAGGCAAAAAGATATCTCTAGAGGAAGAAATAGTCACATATTCTAGCTGGATTATTACAAGTGTGGAGAAGGTAAAGGAAAATATTCCCCCTTTTGTTTTTTATTGTATTTATTTTGAATTTCTGAGGATGGGTACCTCTACTATCTATTTAAATAGTTACTGAGATGCTCCAGTTGATATATTTGTGCCCACCCCATGCTCTGGGTGCCCAAATAGTACTCTGAAATTAAATTATATCACAAACACAGGACTTCTCCTCCTACACTAACATAAGTACATAAACATATGCCAGAAGATAACCAAAACCACATATCAAAGAACAAACCTCTTTAACCCTCTGCCCAGTCCTCAAATACCCTAAAAGCAATGATGCCCTGAACAGTAACACACCTTGTATCTGGTTGACCACACCTCCAGCAACATCCTCCCTTTTCTACTGAGGTGTCCCAGTTTGAGTGCTTCCACTGCTTTTAAGTGGGATGGTGTTGCACAAGGAGAGAGGAAAGCTCTTTCCTCATCTAGGACCAGGCTAGGAATTGCATCAGAGGTTAAAACCTACACTTGGAGTTCCTCCCTGAAACTTCTTAGCAGGCACTGTATCTCCCCCCCCAGCTAGTGTAGCATGCTCTCAGCAGGGAGCTCAGCTTTGGTACATCACTGCATTTCCATTAGCTTTAAATTCAGAGGAGTCTCAGCATGTGGTAGAGGATGTTTCAATAAACCAGGCTCAATGTGTGAAACCACAGATAATTGAGGCAAGGTCCAGGCACTTACAAAAGAGATGCTTAACTACAGCTAAGCCCTGTTCATCTAGTCATTGGTCAAGCTGTAGTAATACACCTCTGATACAGCACACTTCTGTTACACATGGCAGCTGTGCTCCCTAAGTCAGGTACACTGGGGGCACATCTACACATGCATTAATGTGCTGTAGTTACGGCGCATTAAGTTTAGTACCTGTAACAGGTACTAATTCAATGCACAGAAACAGGTACTACTGTGCAGTATCACCAGAGCACATCTTTTTAGTGATGCTAAAGCACAGTGGATTAATTCTACAATGCCTTAGCATGTTAGCACGGCTTTTGCCATGACGCACTAACACACAGTATAATTAGTCTACTGTGCATTTAGCGTCTCGTGTAGATGCACCCTGATATATGTACGTATCACTCACACTTCTGTCTACTTGCCACAAACCATGTAGGAACATGCTGCAAGTGGATCTAGACAGATTACAGGGGTGGGCTGATGAGAACAGGACGGGGCTCAACACTGACAAGTGCAAGGTACTGCACCTGGGGAGGAAGAACCAGCAGCATACCTACAGGATGGGGAACTCCCTTCCTGTCAGTGTCGAGACAGAAAAGGATCTTGGAGTCATCGTTGATGATGCAATGAACATGGGCCGACAGTGTGGGGACGCGGTCAGGAAGGCCAACCATACCTTGTCGTGCATCCACAGATGCATCTCAAGCAGGTCTAAGGAGGTGATCCTCCCCCTCTATGCGACACTGGTCAGGCCGCAGCTGGAGTACTGCGTCCAGTTCTGGGCACCACACTTCAGGAGGGATGTGGCCAATATGGAGAGGATCCAAAGGAGGGCTACCTGCATGATCAAGGGGCAGCAGGGCAGGCCCTACGAGGAGAGGCTGAGGGACCTGAACCTGTTCAGCCTCCAAAAGAGAAGACTGAGAGGGGATCTAGTGGCAGTCTACAAACTAGTCAAGGGGGACCAGCAGGCATTGGGAGAGTCCCGGTTCCCCCGAGCACTCCCGGGAGTTACAAGAAACAACGGACACAAGCTAGCGGAGGGTAGTTTCAGGCTAGACATTAGGAGGCGCTATTTCACAGTCAGGGAGGCTAGGACCTGGAACCAACTTCCAAGAGAAGTGGTGCTGGCTCCTACCCTGGGGGGGCTTTTAAAAAAGGCTGGACGAAACTCTGGCCAGGG